CTGTAAATGGTTTGAACACGTTTAGTTGCATTCATTTCATCCATTAAAATTCCCAATGTAAGAGTTTACTTACCGCTGGCAGAACTGATTCCAAAATTGTAATTGTAATCAGCTGGAAATAAAGAAAGATATCTCTGTTAATTGTAGACCTCAACCGGACTGAGACTCATTCCCCTCAATACATCATACCATATTCACATTCACTGTAGTCTGAAATTAGCCTTTGGAAGCCCTAACAATGCGCAATTTGCACCCTTTTTTAGTCTGGTCAACATACGAGTCACATGGAGCAATAAAAACCAATTTATTTTAATTAGAACAGTGAAGGGTTAGAACCTCTGCTGTTTTTTTTTGTTGCTCTGTCCCCTTTGGGAAGTTTCTCCTTACTTACTGTTCAGGTGTACACTAATGACATTTATATCATTTTTATCACACAAATAGAATTTTCTTTAGGTTGCATTTCATCACCACTGGGTTTTTATTTTTTAGTATATAAAAAGTTGTCGAAAAATATAACAATATTTTTTTACTTTCTGCTATAAAACGTATCAATAAAAAAAGTAAAAAAAAAAAAAAAAAAAAAGCTTCAAAAATTTAAAACGAAATGTCAGAACTGAAGCTGTTTGCCTTCAGACTGTCACTCTCTAATTGAACGTCTCAGTCAGTGCTGATAACCCTTCAACCTCATGCTTTTGTAATAAAAATAATATCAATAAATATTTAGATAAATACTAAATGTATGCATAGAAATATATGGATGAATAAAACCACTTAGTCAATTGTCATGGCTAGAACTAGGCAGATGAATTGGGGTGAAATTGGAAACTTTACATATTTCTATGGAGGAGTTAATATTTTGTGACCAGTAACATGAATCAGCAAAGGTTCAACAGCTTACTGTTCAGACACTAATGAAATTTATATCATTTCTATCACACAAATAGAACTTTCTTTTGGTGGTATTTGATCACCACTGGATTTTTTTTTATTATATAAACAAAAAAAATAATAATAAAAAAAAAAAAAACAATATATCCAATAAAAAAAATTTTAAAAAAATATAATCTCTTTATAAATTTAGGCCAAAACGTATTCTGCTACATCTTCTGTAAAACAAAATCCCAATAAGTATATATTAATGTTTTTTGGTGAAATTCAGTGTCTACAAACTATGGCATAGATAGTGGAATTTTCTTTTTAATTAGTAATGGCAGCGAGCAGAGACTTATAGTGGGACTGCAATAGTGCGGCAGACAATTTGACACTAACTGACACTGGGTGGGAACCGACTAACACTGACATAACCAGTGACATGAATACAGTGATCGGTGCTAATACTATACACTGTCACTGCACTAATGACACTGGCTGGGAAGGGGTTAACAGCTAGGGACAATGAAAGAGTTAGCTGTGCGCCTAACATTGTGTAATGTGTGCTGCTTTTCCTAAGCAATGTGACTGTTTTATCCCCCTGATTTGCGCGGAGAAAAAAAACAGCCACATCTCTGCTTCGTGTACAGAGCCCTGTGTTGTTAGTAAACACAGGGCTCTGTACTGTGATTCGATAAGCTGATCAGCAGGCCACACCCAAAAACTGTTAGCCAGGGCCTGTTCTAAGTGTAGACGGTTAAAATCAGGCAGATTTGATGATAAAATTGCACTCACATAGGTAAGTAACAGGTAGGCATGTCAAGTAATGGAGGTCCAGTGGGAGCATCAGGTCCTTAGGCCACGCTCTGGGTGTTTTCCCGCCTAATGAAGGAGTGAGCATGCTCCGAACATGCTCCATCTTGGAAATCATCCATGTGATCCTCCCTACGCCCCTCTGCTACTCCCCTAGCCCTGGACACCACCGGAGAGGCGGGAAAACACAGAGCGTGGCCTAAGGACCTGATGCTCCCACTGGACCTCCATCACTTGACATGCCTATCTGTGTTACCTACCTATGTGAGTGCAATTTGACCATTAACTCTGCCTGATGTTAACCATCTACACTTAGAGTGGCGCTGCCGTCTCTATTCTCCTCCTGTATTAGGAGTATCTACAAGCTCTTACAGCTGGCTGCCTCCTCGGACAAGTCCATACTACTATAAGCCCCCCACTACAGATGGACTTGGACACCACCTCCACATGGACCTTCAACTAACCCCCATTGCTGATGGTCCATCCCCAAAACGCACACAGGGTAGATGCATCTTAGCGCTCCTTCCCCCAACTCAGCCAGGGCCTGCCAACTGACTTGTGCTGTACCAAAAGATAGCACAGATTGGACAGAGTGTGTGCCCCCTACCCGGGAATGTTGGATCACATACATCAGCGGTTCTCAACCTGTGGGTCGCGACCCCTTTGGGGGTCGAACGACTCTTTCACAGGGGTCGCCTAAGACCATCGGAAAACACATATTTCCGATGGTGTTAGGAACCGAGACACCGCTGCTCTATCCGTCTCCAGGTGTGGGCGGGATGACATGCTGCCCCTGTCATCTGGACACACCCTCAGGATCAATCCTCGCCGGTGATTGGCCGCCGGAACTGTAGCTCAGGAGAGGCACACAGGCGGCCAATCACCGGCGAGGAGGTGGAGCTTGGAGAGGAGGAGCCGAGCGGCATCGCGAAGATTGAGCGGGTGAAGAGGAGAGCGGCTGGAGAAGGAAGACAGCTGACAGGTAAGTGTCTGTACCATGGGAGAGGGAGGGAGCGAGCGAGCCCAGGCTGGAGCAGGGATCAGCAAGGTAAGTATCATTGGTGTCAGTGGGAGGGATAGTGCCCCATCATTAGATTCACTAATACCAATGATGGGGCACTATTCCTCCCACTGACACAAACGATGGGGCACTATTCCTCCCCCCACTGACACCAACGATGGGGCACTATTCCTCCCCCCACTGACAACAACGATGGGGCACTATTCCTCCCCCTGATACCAACGATGGGGCACTATTCCTCCCACTGACACCAACAATGGGGCCGCTATTCCTCCCCCTGATACCAACAATGGGGCACTATTCCTCCCACTGACACCAGTGATGGGGGCGCTATTCTTCCCACTGATACCAATGTTGGGGCACTTTTCCTCCCACTGACACCAGTGATGGGACACTTTTCCTCCCACTGACACCAATGATGGGGCACTATTCCCCCCACTGACACCAATGATGGGGCACTATTCCTCCCACTGACACCAACGATGGGGCACTATTCCTCCCACTGACACCAACGATGAGGCACGATTCCTCCCCCCAACTGACACCAACGATGGGGCACTATTCCTCCCCCCACTGACACCAACGATGGGGCACTATTCCTCCCCCCACTGACACCAACGATGGGCCACTATTCCTCCCCCCACTGACACCAACGATGGGGCACTATTCCTCCCACTGACACCAACGATGGGGCACTATTCCTCCCACTGACACCAACGATGGGGCACTATTCCTCCCACTGACACCAGTGGTTGGGGCACTTTTCCTCCCACTGACACCAGTGATGGGACACTTTTCCTCCCACTGACATCAGTGATGGGACACTTTTCCTCCCACTGACATCAGTGATGGGACACTTTTCCTCCCACTGACACCAGTGATGGGACACTATTCACCCCCACTGACACCAATGATGGGGCACTATTCCTCCCACTGACACCAATGATGGGGCACTATTCCTCCCACTGACACCAATGATGGGGCACTATTCCTCCCACTGACACCAATGATGGGGCACTATTCCTCCCACTGACACCAATGATGGGGCACTATTCCTCCCACTGACACCAATGATGGGGCACTATTACTCCCACTGACACCAATAATGGGGCACTATTCCTCCCACTGACACCAATGATGGGGCACTATTCCTTCCACTGACACCTATGATGGGGCACTATTCCCCCCACTGACACCAATGATGGGGCACTATTCCCCCCACTGACACCAATGACATGGCACTATTCCTCCCACTGACACCAATGACATGGCACTATTCCTCCCACTAACACCAATGACGGGGCACTATTCCTTTCACTGACACCAATGACGGGGCACTATTCCTCCCACTGACACCAATGACGGGGCACTATTCCTCCCACTGACACCAATGACTGGGCACTATTCCTCCCACTGACACCAATGATGGGCACTATTCCCCCCACTGACACCTATGATGGGGCACTATTCCCCCCACTGACACCAATGATGGGGCACTATTCCTACCACTGACACCAATGACGGGGCACTATTCCTACCACTGATACCAATGATGGGGCACTATTCCTCCCATTGACATTAGTGATGGGACACTATTCCTCCCACTGACACCAATGACGTGGCACTACTCCTCCCACTGCAAAATTACAGTTATGAAGTAGCAACGAAAATAATTTTATGGTTGGGGGTCACCACAACATGAGGAACTGTATTAAGGGGTCGCGGCATTAGAAAGGTTGAGAACCACTGACATACATATACAGGATACAGCAGTGGTTGAAGGCACATATAAAATTACTGTAACAAAGGTGTGAACCTGAGATGACTTACCGGCATCCAAAAAGAGACTAACCCTTCCTGCAATGTTCTGGGAATCATCTGATTTGGGTTGAGAGTTGCAGGTCTGTAAGGAAATGAAAGTAATTCAACAGAAATTCCAGACAAGTGAAATCGGTGATGGAACTGCAAACTGTATCCAAGAAACACCACAGCTATGCTAAAGTCACAACGTCCCCTTCATGTTCCTTTATCTGTGTTAGCCCCACAATGGAAACAGTGGAGGATGCGGGCGCACCAGGTTCTTCCATCACTCCAATGGTGAGACTTCCCAGGAATAGTTGCGTCCCCCTCCACATTGGTTTTCAGTCACTTTAAGCCATGTTCCCCAATCACCTATTTATTCTACATTGTATCACTTCATGTTCCTTTATCTGTGTGTTATGATCCGCCAGGTGGTGCCTCAGGCTGCCAACTGACAGACCTACTCAGAGCGTGGGGTCTAAGCCCGGGCTGTGCTTTCACCAGAGCCCCTGATGGTGGGGATGGACTTGAAACAGTCCCGGGCCAGGTCACGACCTCCGAGCAGGCCCGCCAGTGGCTGAGGAGACCTTTGGGGACAGGTACCGGGAGAGCCAGATATGAAGAGGATGGCGGCCCCAGCAGGGTAGTAACGGATCGTGGGCCCGTGAGGGTAAGCGGGGTACAGAATCGGTAGGCGAGAGTAGTCGGGTCACACGCAGGGTCAGCAGGGAAGTCAATCCGTAGAATGGTCAGGGCAATCCGGGTCAAACGCAGGAGCAGGCAGAATAGTCAGGACAATCCGGGTCAAAAGCAGGAGCAGGCAGAGTAGTCAGGACAATCCGGGTCAAACGCAGGAGCAGGCAGAATAGTCAGGGTCAATCAGGGTCACAAGATAGGTGCAGGAACTCAGGATCACAGGAAGACCTTGCGGCAATCTGTGACAGTGCAGGGCATCTTTAAATAGTGCGCCCTGCACTGTCATTGGCCGGCTAGGACGCGCCCCCGGCTGTCATTGGACGCCTGAGGCGCGCCCGCGGCTCCTACTGCGCATGCGCGGCATCCTGTCAGCCGCGGCTCGCCGGGACCTAGTGCCTGTGTCCCGGCGCGATCTGCCGCCACTGCGCATGCGCGAGGGACGGAGCCGCGATCGCGGACCATGGAGCCGCGGTCCCTGACACTGTGTTATCCCCACAATGGAAACAGTGGAGGATGCGGGCGCACCAGGTTCTTCCATCACTCACGTACGCATTTAAAGGGTCCCCCCTATTTTTATCCTCATTATTAATTATTATTATGCTCTATGCACTTTCATCCAGAATGGTTCAGCACATGCCAATGCCTGAAACCAGAAGTGCAGCATTTTGGGCATTGGCAATGTGCTCCACACCTGCAGTTAATAATTTTGGTTTAAAATGCACTTCCACTATGGAGGTGAAAAATTACTGGATGGCATAGGGTTTGAATAATAATAATACTGCCCTCTGCTCCTCACAGGACCTCCTACTCTCTAGTTCCCTGGTCTCCTCCTCCCACGCCCAATTGCAGGACTTCTCCAGGACTTCCCCCATCCTCTGGAACTCCCTACCCCAATCCATCAGACTGTCACCTACCCTCCTCACCTCTAGGCGCACCCTGAAAACCCTCCTCTTCAGGGAAGCCTACCCCAACCTCACCTAAAAACTAACCTCCTCCACTCCTCCCACCACTCCATCCCCCACAGCCATCTCCTCCTGTACCACCTTCCCCTGCCTCCTAGATTGTGAGCTCGAAAGAGCAGGGCCCTCGAACCCCTCGTGTAGTGTATTGTTACTGTCTTGTCTCATGTTCCATCCCCCTTGCTACTGTACAGCGCTGAGCATACCCTTTGGCGCTATATAAATACTGTATAATAATAATAATTAAAAAAAAGACTAACTACAGTTATTTGAATTGCAGCCTGGGCAACATGACGTGCTTCAGAGGACTAATGACATTGGTGGCCTGGTAAGTCAATCATACCAATGTGTGTGGTTTTCAGTGTTTTTAACAATTGGTATATTTGTAACATATTTCAATTATGGAATCTCAAGCTATAGAATGATTTGGCAGCTGTCATGTCACCCTGGTTGAGCACACCCAACCCCTTGGAGGGGAGAGGGAAGAGGCATCCACATTGTTTTCAGTAAGGTATGTAAGTATTAAGGGGTTTATCCTTTGGCTCTGATGAAAAGGTGAACCCCCTTAAAACATGTAAGCCAATTTGATCCAGATGGTATCTGCTTGAGATAAGCAGCATGAGCAGTGGAGAGGGTTACATTGTCTTACGTTGTTTTTGAAGAGCGTGTGTCATTTATGAGAATACATCCATCTCCATTTTTATTAATAATGAGTTTACAAAGAATGCAGTAGGCTGGTGCGCTCTATTTTTTGCTTTGTTATAAGGGCATTGCTGGTCTCAAGATGGCAACAAGGTGTGCCAACCGTATTCATTTGGAGAAGCAGATGAATAAGAACCACTGAAGTCTGAACCATCGTTCACGTTGATGTGGTCTGCACTCCCCCTCCCCATGTGGCACTGCCCAGATCTATTGTAATTTGCCCAGGAAAAGTTCTGGTCTCTTCTCCCCTGTAGTGATGGGAATCATTGATATTAAAGTTTGCAGCCCCTTAGCCTCCATTTACTTAGATTCTGGGAACTGTAGTCCTTGAAAGGGCATTGCACAATACATTACGTTTTCTCCTTGGTCAAGAACCCTGTTGCCAGGAGAAAGGGGGGAGCAAGAGGGAATAGGAAAGTGCCTGGGGCTTTGAGGGCCCCTTGGACCATTTGACCAACTGGGCAGCTGACTGTTTGCCATATGGCTTCCCAAGCTCTGACTGCTCTTTCAGCCACAGAAATCACAGAACATTCTCTATGTGTACATTGAGTCTTACCACGGCACAATCATCAGTGCAGAGACTAAGTTCGGCATGGAGATAGATGGTGTGTTAGAACTGGCGATCTTGAAGACTTTCATAGCAAACCGAGCTTCATTGCTGAATCCATTGCTAGTCACTCTTAGATGGTCAGTAGATATTTGGCTAGATGGGCACCTGGATACAGAAACCTTTCATCAGCTTTCAGTTACTGTAATCTAAAGATTAGAACACAATGTTCTATATATGTATATAATATAGATGAATGTATGTATTATAGATGAATAATACATGGCAAGTGTATATTATAACCAGTATATTAGTACGTGGACCTGTTTATTGCAATTGAGTTTATATGCAGCTCTTATTATTGAAGTTAAACCTGTCCCTTCTGGTCTGGGATACTATAGAAAGTTTTAGCTCAAGGCTTAATAACCAGGTTAGGCATCTAGCCACTTCTGGTAGTTAGAAGTCCGGTTGCATGTCAGATTTGAAACTACTAGGGCCCTAAAGGCAGAATAGACAGGCAACTCCAGTAATAGCACACCACAGTTTGCTGTAGAAAGTTGCATTCCAGGCTGGTTGGACAACGGTTGGAGTACTTCCCCATCACCACTGACATTGTCTTCAGGTCTCTGGCACAAAAACGGATACTGCATTGTGAATGCATTGGGCCTGGCTTGAGCAATGCAGCCTGTCATAGGTGGAGCGAACAGGCCCTTCAATACAAAACACATCAAGTAAAAATACAAGTGTTACTTCAATCCAGCCCTGAAATTTGATATAATTTCAAAAGAGCTCTGTAATTCTAACTTTTCCTTGTGATCAGTGAACAGTATAGGAAAGGGTCAGATCCTCTGTTGGGTATTTATTGCTTGCTGTTTAAAGCAGCTGGGAAAGCCATGCACTAAGAATGCTGGATTGTTCACCAATCATCACCCTACTGAGTCCAGCACCTCTGTATATAACCAATTTCCTGAATCTCTGATGAAGCTGAACTGCTTAACACCCCCAAAATGTGTTGGCTTTTCTTTTGCCACTTTCCTCCTTCCTCTCAAGGCTTGTATTGCTGTCTGAGGAAATATTTTCCCTCACCCCCTGTCCTGGTGACACCCAGTCATAGGGCCACGAAATGGAAAATCTCTCCAGTGGGACATACACTTTAAACAGTGTGGTGAAGAGTAAGAACCTCTTGTCAGGATTTAATTGCTGCCTGTGTCATACTGTCTTGAAGACCCCATCTCCTCATTTTCATCCTGATGTCAAAAGCACAGATCAGCGATAAGAGGTTGCCTCAATAGAGCCACAGACACCCTACAGGGGTTCTAACCCTTCCCCCACTCTATCCAAAAGTGAAAAAAGTTGGCTTGAGTTGGGCTGTAAAGTTGAACTCCGGGAATTATGCCACTTTAAAACGTTGGCTTGTCCAGATCAATTCAGAACTTCATGCCAACACAACTACCATGTTCCTCCTGATGTGATATATTGTTCTGAGCATTTAGTGAATTATTTTCCAAAGTGTACAAAGAAACACACAGAATTACTAACCAGTGTGCTGTGTACTTACCCGTCCTGAAGAAGATAGTACTTGGTGGAGCTGGAGTTGGTAGGAGAGGCATAAAGATTCACCACTTTGAGTTTAAAGGTGTTGGCATCCAGATCCGGTATGAGCACAGAAATGTAGATATTATCTTCTACATACAGGGGTCGGAGTCTGAGAGCTGAGTCATAAACTGGTCATCTTTGTATGCCATCATGTAGACTGAATAAGTTGCATTTGCTGTAGGGCTGTTTATTACTGTGGTCCTGGAAAATAAACGCACAGCAAAAGGTTACCTACCTAGAACCCCTTGTAGGTACGTGGCCATGCGTCTATGTTATTATACAGAGAGGACACAGAACTGACATTATTTGCACTGAGGATAATTAAACAGAAAAACCAGAAAATCAGATATCTTCCTTGGCTCTGTGTAAAGGATTGAAAGCAGTGAAGCTCATATACAAAATGAGGATGGTAGGATGATATCTACACAATTCTAAATGCACCACAAAGGTTTAAAATGAATATGAAACAGGCAAAATAAGAGTTATTGAGGTGACCCTTTTAGGGTGAAAAAAAATGAGCACAAACATCCCTGCAATGGAAGAATTTCCATACTCCCCTCTCAGGCGGAACATGTCTCCTACCTTTCCTCCGTCCCTGTGCTGCAGCCTCCACCAGACTCTTCAGTATTCAACTCTTCCGGAAGTGTGGGATGTCTGTGTCTGCCGGCACATGCCATGGTTCCTTCCTCTGACCCCGATGTCACTACAGGACTCAGCAGAGACATTGGGGTTGAAGAAAGGAACCATGTAGCATGGTGACACTCAGGAGTGTTGACTAGCAAAGAGGTTATTGGAGGTTGCAGCACTGAAGCAGAAGGAATGGAGGGGACACGGGTTATAAAAACTCTTCTATTGTAGGGACATTTCCTCTCGATTTGACAGGGCGGCTTGAAAACACCTGACCCAGATGGCTTGCACCCATGTGTCCTCAGAGAGTTGGAGCTTTTGTTTCAAATTTATACAACCCTGACCAGGGGCGGACTGACCATTTGGAAACCCGGGCACTGCCCGAGGGCCTGGGGTCAGTAGGGGGCCCCATGAGATGCCCCTGGTACCTTTTTCATAGGCTTTTTTGAGTTTGGGCAAGGACACAGGGGCCCCATGACCCCTATTGCCCGGGGGCCCCATGAGTTGTCAGTCCGCCCCTGACCCTGACCCTCTGTTTCCTCTTGTACCAGCTTGTATTGTAACTGTAATGTCTACCTTCATTTTATAAAGTGCTGCGCAAACTGTGCCATATAAATCCTGTATAATAAGAATTATTAAGACCTGGCACAAGGCCAATGCACCACAGCCATTTCAAATTAATAAGAAACAGGCAAAATAAAAGTTACCAAGGTGATCGTTTTAGGATGAAAAAAACTAATTGAGAACAAATATTCCTGCAATAGAAGAGTTTTCATATTCACCTCTTAGGTGGCCCATGTTTGCTA